CTAAAGCGAAAGAAGACAAACTCTTGACCAAGTTGCAGTTAACCAGCTCCCTCCCAAATGCCAAGAGTTCTGCAAAATGAACAGATGTCTGCTGAGTTTTATGTTATTTGAGAAAAGCAAAGGTTCAGGGTGTTCCTCATAGATCACTCCATTGAGGTTGATAGGAAGTTACGTGTTTTCTTCCTACATTATTTAAAAGTGCACTAGTAAAGAATTATACAAAGCAACAATTTTTCATATTGTTAAGAACAGAAAGTCTTCAGTCACAACCACAAGCCCAGCCACACTGGCCAACTAAATGCATTCTAGAAACCTACAAACATGTATATGAGAGCAAAAGCTTCTTTCTCTGTTGATTTAGGAAGAGATATGCCATTATTAAGATTAGCAGCCACCAATGATCCTACTCCTGATGAATTTGTCAAAAACTCACTTGCTGGCAATGAATTCCATTGTTTAAAAATGCACTGTATAAAGATGCCTTCTCTTCATTGGTTCTCAATTTCCTTGCACTTTGTTTTAACATTTTTCATACCATGTGTGACAACAGTTTCTCTATCTTTTACCCTTTACATGTTTTTACTCTAAATTAAAACACTCAAATGCTACTGTCTTTCCACAGAGGGGAGCTGTTCTAGTTCCTAATCATATAGCCTGCCTGTCTTATTTCAATTTTTTTTTTTGAGATGTGATGCCCAGTCAGCTGAAAGAGGAGTTCCCCCCAAATTTCTATGAAGTGTTATATAGTTTCAGTTTTATTCTCAAATCTTTCTGCAATGATTCTCAACATGATTTATTTTTACAGCAGCTGTACACTGAGTTGCCTTTTCACCGAACTACCCATCATGATTTCAAGTTCCCCCATTTGCCACCTAAGACCCCATGTGAAATTCTGATTTTTCTGTATGTGCAAATGTCTATCAGTCTGTACTTGCTTGCCCTGAACATTTGCTATTGTAAAGTCCATTCAGCCCAGAAGTAAGATATAGGATTAAGATGTTCAGTTGCATATGGCTTTCTTTTCCACTCTGTATTTTCCCAGAATCCATTCTGAGTTGCTTACTTCAGGGTATAAATGATAAATCTTCCGTCAGGCCACATCTGAGAAACTATAGCATTCTGGGGGCTCCATCTCCACTATTGTGAAACAGAGCTTTTTAGATTTACTTTGTGGGTTTGGTTTTTTTTTTCACAGTTGCTCTGACACCAAATGCTCTTAAGTCCTGTATTCTCTTGTTTTGTCTCAGCTCCATTCCTTGCGTTTCTTGCTGCTCTCTGAGAACTGGGTATGGTAGTTTTTCCATAGGTTCTGAGGTTGAACTCCAACCCCTGCCCTCACGTTCCTATCCATTAGAGACAGGGAGACAGAAACAAAGACAGAAGATGGCCCACCTCCATCTGAACTAATGTGAGTAAGGCTTAGGCTACAGAAAAACTTCTCAGAATTGGGAGCCAGCAGTAGAAACAGGAAACAAGGAAAATGATTGTGGGTAACATGACACAAGCTTGAGATCAAAGAGTGGAACTGGCGGGCTGAAGTGACAAGACAAACAAAAGGAAATTTTGCTCCACACAACACACAATTCCTTGCTTCAGGATGTTGTGATGGCCATCAACTCATGTTACACATGACACCCAGCAGCAAGTGCCTTTTTTCTCAAGTCTCTTTTCCAGTGATGTGAAAAGTGGGGGTGGGGGGAAGGACTGGGTTGTTTCGAGCAGAAATTGGCCAGAGGGGAAAGAGTTAATTAGAGTCTTGCTCTCTGTCATATCAGTCTTTTGTTCCTCATGGTGAGTTAGTATTAAATACACATGTATACATACGGATAAAAAGAACACTAAAGGAAACAGGGATGGCCAAAATGCACATCAAGTGGCTTCAAACTTAGACAGCTTTTTAAGAAATAGGACAAATATTATTTTAATTGTTTTGATATAAAGAGCTTTGCAGCCATCTCAAAGTGGTTCAGACAACATCATTATAATGGAATGATATAAACCAAGTATAAAATACAATGTATAAAAACTACCAAAGCATGCTATCTAAAAACAGTAAAGTGCATACCATTAAAACAAAAAAAATCTCGGTAACTTCCTCCCCTCAAATCTGTTTCAAATTCATCAACAGAAGTTTGAAAACTCATCCGTAAGGAGGAGAACAAGGAAATGAATTTTCTGTCAGAAATTTTCAGTGATGGGACTACATCTTCCGTTCTGCTAATCTCATGAACCATGATTGCTGGATCATTAAACCATAAGGTCTGGCTCTCTTCTGCCTTGTCCCCACATTCTCAGTCTTCACTCAGACTCCAGTTCCTGCCTTCACCCATTTCCAGATCTATGGTGCCACCTGAAGGACATTGGTTCACTCTGCTTACTGGATGGCAGGCTAACTCCACTGGACCCAGTGAGCCTTAGGCCTAATCCTATCAAGCTATTTTTATGAGCCTAGAAGCAGAGACTGGACATAACATTGGATGTCCTGAGGGAGGACTTTTCCCTAAACAATGGCTTGTCACACTGAAGAAATGATGGCTGTCAAGGGAAATGTTGTGGCTTCTTTGTGGTGCTTAATATTACATCGGTAATTTGGTGTCCAGGCCAAGTCCTACAGTCTGAGGTAACCACACAGCTGATTGAAATCCCTGAAAAGGCAATATGTGAATAGGCTGAAAATTAAAAGACTGAATGCCAAAGGAAGGGCACCCCGCCAACTCATGCAAGGACCTCATCGTCACAGGTCCTAGTGGCTTCTCTTAACTCCCCTTCACATTTTACATGGTTACACTGAGTAGCTGCCAAGTCCCCATCCTCAGTCTAGGTTCTCTTCTCAAGAAGATCCCATCAGTAGGTTCAAAAATAGATTTTAATTGAAAGACACAGGTCTGTCCAACAGGTCTATGTGCCTTGAGTCACAGATAGCCCTTAATCAGGGACTCTGGGTGTACATTAAGAAAACTAATGCTTGGAATTAACTGAAAGTTTGTCTTTGGAAAAAACAAGATCTATTCAGAGCTGTCTCTTTATAATCCTCCTCCCAAGCACGACCCACCTCAGCTGAGAACCTGATTTTAAAAAAGAAAATCCTATTTGTTCAAACCTTATAAAAGAATATTTTGGTGTCTGAGAAGGGAAATGCCCCCAACCAAAGCAAAGTATGCCAATAGCCAAATTATTTTGGCCGCTCACATAAAAAGGCCACGCCCTGATGGTACAAGTTAACTAATATCTCCCAAGATTCTGCCCAATTGTCTTGCCTCCCTTTGCTCAAGAACGTAAGAACAGCGATCTGGATCAGGGCAAAGCCCATTAGTTCAACTTTTTGCTTCTCACCATGGCCAATCTGATGGCTCTGGGGTGCTCCCAAGACCCCTCTCCTGCCACTCTTTTCTGCCACTGGTACTTGGAAACACACTGCCCCCATTCAGAGGCAACAGGGGGTCTTAAGGACTAGTACCCCTTGACTGACCTGACCTCCAGGAATGTATCCAACCACTTGAAAAGCCATCTGAGTTAAAACCATCCACACTTATGTCGGCCCACTTGCTACCACACACAGCCATCCTCGAGATACTGACTTGCTTTCTTCTCAGCTATTTTTATCCACGTTTTGTTTTGTACTTGTGCCTAGAAGATCCTTGGAACTGGACCATGTCTACAAGGCTGCCTGGATGCAACCGAAGAGTGGCCCGTTGAAGGAAAGAAAGAAAAAAAAAGAGCGTGCTCCTTTTCCACAAGGGCCACTGATTCTTCTGCAGAAGGGTAAAAGCAGCTGCACGCTGCACACTCAAGTCCTGCCGTTGGGAGGGAGAAGCTCGGCATTAATTCCAACACAGGAGGGTCTGGACCTTCAGCAACAATAGCAGCGACCAAGCCCAGGCTCCCCGCCCCCACCGAAGCAAATACAATATTCAAGACCAAAGGCATCAACATCGCGGATCAGAAACAGCTAAATTAGGCCATTCTTCGGGACCATCGCAGAGATTCCTCCTCT